GGTAGTATGAAGTTAGTCGTTAAAGAAAGTTAAAAATATTTTGGAAATTTTATCGAGTACGCGTACATTTGATCTAAATCCAGCTTGGCAGACTTCATTATATTATTTTCGATTATTTTGGTCAGCGTTTTTGTAGGTACGGGACACCCTGTATATACATTTGTTCCTAACCTAAATCTTTAGATAAAGTAAAGGCATTTAAATTGAAATGTAATTCTTCGAAATAAGTGTTTTAAAGAAAAAACTAAATTATAACTACACATTAATAAATAACAAACTATTATAGTATTATACAAAAACATTTAATTCATATTGAAATAAACTGAGTCGTAAGTTAATTTTAAAAACATTTTCTTTTTCCTTTTATAATAACACATGCGTGATGTGTACTTATTTATATAGCATTGCACTGAATATTACTCAATAATATAAGGGAAACATGTGTCAAATGGACATAACCAATCATTCTTTTATGTATATCTGTCTTACTTATAATAATTCTACCTACTAGTGGCACACAGGGTGTGGCATTACTATTTCCAACCTACATGATTAACCATTTTTCTTGTAATATCATTAAATAATCTTGTACACGTAAATTGTACAGTAACAAGAAGGATATAATTTGATGTGAAATAATTTCCTACACAACAGCATTGAAGTAATTTCAATGTATTACAATTTTTTTTATTTTACATAAAATGATATATTTTTATTATTGATAATATTTCATATTTATACGGTATAATAGCTCAATAAAAAACAAAATAATTTAACACAGAATTTTGTTGTTGTGAATCTTCAGTTAAATCATAATTAAAATAAAATCACGTTAAAATATGATCAATAGATAAATTTAAGAACATAAATGTTTAAATAAAAATATATCCAGATTACTTAAATGTATTTTTAATAAATAGAACTCATAAGATAAAACTTGAGAATGATAATGAATTTAATTATTTAAGTGAATAGAACGAATATTTCGTTTTGTATATCCAATCAGAACGATTAAAACTCCAAGGTCACGTGAATACGCGTTCAACAGAATTCCCAATAATATTTTAACATTTGTTATTGCATACCTCGTGCTAGGTAAGAACAAGCAGTAAAAGATAAAAACGTTCTTTGATATATCGCATCAAAGGTCTGTTCCAGTTCCGAACGCAAGAAACAAACTCGTTAGATTTCTAAACGAGCAAGTAAAACGTCCCATGACGTCGAGTAACATTTTATACGAAGCAGCGAAACGCCCGATTCGATACAAGGAGACATCGTCCTACTGCTTAATTAGCAGAAACAAGGAAAAATGAGAGCCCTTAGGATGCCGTGTCTAGAATTGCTTCAAGGAATCTTCGAGTTTTCTACTAAAGCGTTAGGCTCGTTAAAACTGCCTCGGTTTAGTTATGCAGATTAATTATATATTAATGACCAGTTGAATATCTTGTTTGTTAGTACCAATAAAATGAAGATTTATCTATTCATAAAATTATTGGTTTGCTCGACATATTTTATATTATTATGTTATATTATATTAATAATATATTTAATAATTATA